CCGCCGCGCTTCCCAAGCGGCGCACTATCCAGTGTGCCACCGGGCTGGCCCCGTTTCTGTTTGTTTTTTAATAAGCTCCTCTTTCCTGGATTATTATAAAAAACACATCAGTTAGATATAGTTTAACTATATTTCTCAGGAGATTTTGGAGGATTAAGGAAGCTAACTGGGTTGACAACATCTGTAGCAACATAAAGAACTTACTGAGTTACGTATAATATCAAAAAAGTAAAATTATTTAGTGGGCTCATAAGTGATAGGCAGGGGAACATGGTATAGAAAAAACTGTCGGCTATTGAAAGGAAACTGTAGACATCTAGAGTCCTTCAGTGAGTTATACAGAGAAGTCATTACATATGTATTTATTTTCCTTTATAGAATATCATACTATGTTTTAAAATTCTTTCATTAGTAATATTTGCCATTGTGTGGATTTTCAGTGGCCTGCCTGTTGTGTGAGATACTCACCTCCGACAGAAGCAATGTTTTTAGCACTTTTGGAAGCTTAACTTCGCCATGCAAAACAGGAAGTAGCCCAAGAGTAAGGAGGAAATAACTGTCCCAACTTTGGAAACATTGTCACTAATGTCTAAGGGAATTAATCTTACGTTTTAATGTACCAAGATTAGCTGTAAGAGCTAAGAAACCAATACTAACCCATCTATATGATCAGCACATAACATGGATATTGGCATGTAGTAGGCGCTCAAGAAATGCCTGTGGAATGAATCTAACAATTTTGACCTCATTTCTTTCACTTCCTCTAGCTCGTTATACTTTTGATACATGCCCTCCATTTTTCCTCAACAATTGGCAATTCCTCCTTAACCGAGCTATAATTAACATCTACTGCTTTTAATTTTGCACTAAGCAATCTTCTAAATTTCCCAGTTTTTGAGTGGGCAACCTTGGAAATTTTTTCAGAACACATTGTGCCTCCTAAACACTTCCAATCTGATAACTCTGATCACTGAATCTGAGATGTTTGCCAGTTACTGTCTTAGTCATCTCCTCACACCTAGCTCATTTCCTCCCAGAAAGCCAGTAAAATCTGCAGCCTAGGGGCTGCGGGCAAAAATTCCATGGGGAATCTCTAGAGTGTGTTCTTTCTTTGCTAGTGCATGATTCCGATCAAGGCTAATCCCATTGAGTTTCCTAACAGAAAGGAAAGCAAAAAAGACAAAAAGAAAGAAGGAAAGAACTATATAAATCTAAATGATTTAAAAAAATAAGTTATTCCTACTTTTTGTCTTTTAAAACACAAAACGTTGAGCACACCACGCTGTCTAATCTGCAGCACACTCTCTGATCCGCACCATCGCTGTCCCTCTGAGTAGTGTGACCACAGCCGTAGCTTTGTGGTTGTGGTCACACTAATCAGGGGGTTGGCAGTGGTGACGATGAGCTGCATCGTTGATGCTGAGCATGAGTAGGAGTGTGAATATAAACCCCATGGAGAAAGGAATGTAGTTCAGCATTTCATTTTATGTGATAATTCACAAAATTGCCAGAATCACCGGTCAGTGGGCATTTCCATTAATGTTCTCAGTCTAGTCAGATGCAATAAAGAGGAACAATTTAAACAGTTAAAGCAGCCAAGGGGGAAGTTTTGGCAGGTTCCGATGCTTCATTCTGGCATTTGATTAGAAACTTATTTGGTGGCGGGGCGGTGGCGGGGGATGGAGGCATGTCTCTTGAAATCTCCCACTGAACCTG